CCTAGGCGCTATTGCGGGCTTTTGNCTGCTTTCAGGACAGGGACCCGTTGGGATAACAGACCCCGCTGCGCCATCTCAAAGCAACTACCCCTCTGCCGCGGCGCCATCCACCGGAAACGGACCCAACCTCACGAGCACTAATACTCTGAGTCGGCCACTCGCGGTCTACAGATTCGTGTTCTTCATAAGCTAAGCCTGACCCGTAGCTTCTAATCCAGCCTGGTCAAACAACAGCGGCGGCGCATCCCTTTCCCGCTATTTTAAAACTGGGTCCGGTCTCTCCCATGCCTTTGATATAACAGAACTTGCGGCGGCTGGCTGTGCCTACAGTCTGACCGCGCGGAGCAATAGCTGGCGTCTGTTACTCACCGCATCGGCCCCCTCCGGGTAACTAGGTGCTCCGCCATTCTGGTGTCCTCCTTCGTCCCGCTGTTGGAGGATGTCCTCCAAGCCTTCTTGGCCTCCGCCGCGCGATTGCTCGCGCTCTGCCATCACTTCGCTGTTACTGGCGACCGATATGCCAGCAACGTCAAATCGCCTTATCTACTTTACTATTGAGCTGGGTCCCGAATACAAAGTAAATCACTATTTAAACAATTCAAAATCCCCAACAGACGACGTTCTGACTTGCGCTTGCTTGCACGGTTGACTGGCGAACTAGCGTTGTCTGGATTCAGCGCTTTGTTCCCAGCTAATCTTTGTAACGCACTACCGTATCAGTCACTGTCCTCTGGCCAATTCCGGTCTGCTCCTCCCGCGCCGCACTTGCCGTACTACACTACAGGACGAGCACTTAATCAACATGCAATTGCCTGTTCGTACAGACCGGGTGCGGAATGCAGGTCTTGGGGAAAATTATTGGCAAGGAAAAGAGAAAATAGCGAAGCGCAAATCTGATAAAAATAATAATTATTAGGTGTATCTCCTTATGGCTAAGAATTATTAATGTTGGATATCACGCTATTTAATGCACGTCGGAATGCATGATGAGCGAAAAAAAGCCATAAAATTCAATGTTAATGTCACTGTTGTTGTTGTTGTTGACAGGGCGTTACACTGTGGGCCTTTTCGCCCTGAGAAAGGACGGACCGGACCTAAGAAAAAGGGCTGGCGCGCGGCTACGACCGTCAGTTCCTCCGCGCGCGCCGCACTCCCTCACTCACGCCAGCCGGGGCGCGCTCCCAGCCCCTGGCTAAGCATCTCAATGGCGCAGAGGACAGCAAATCGTACTAAGCGAGAGCTGCGCGAGCGGCACCGCACACCCCAGGGGTCCCTAGCCAAGCTACCCTTCACCACTCCGCCTGGCCAGCCTACCCGCACGCTCTCACAACTCTATATCGCCAAACAAATCGAAAACGCCACCAGGGGCCCCTAGGTTCCACACAGAGGCCTGCTGGACCGTTGGGCGGTTCACACGACGCAGGACATTACCGATCATGAACACATTAACAGTCCATGAACCTCCCCCTGAACCGCCCGGGGCCCCAGAACACCTTTGTCGGCACTTCTCCATTGGGGGCGAAGCTCGCAGCGGGCACCGAGAAGTTCTCCAGATTCCAGGTTGCCAGGACAAGGGTGGCTGCAAGGGGGAAGGGGGAAGGGGGAGGTGAGGGGGGCAGGGAAGCCAGGGAAGCCCATCCTGATGTGCATACAAGTAATATAGGGAAAAGTGTTAGCGACGGCCGGGAGCAAATGTCAGAAAGAGAATTTCAGAGAGACAGAAAGAGGACTTCAGCGAGGGGTATAAGGCCAGTGGGAGGAGGTCAGTGGATGATTGGTGATCTGACTGTGCAAGACCAGCTTAGGGTTGGTTCGGGTTGGAAAAACAAGGTCTCTCGGGGAGATGGCTGATTGTCATGTAGGGGAATTATTGCGGGGGTCGTGCGGGGTGACAAAAAGGGGGAAGGGAGATGACAGGAGGGAGGAAGGGGCCCAGCGGGACCCGCCGCTTTTGTGTTTCAGCAGTAGTACTGTGTACGGTACGTACCTGAAGGTGGTTGAAAGCAACATTTGGGTTGGGACAGCCAGGGAAGACAGGGAACTTTCAGGGGCAGGTCCTGAGGCTCGTTCATGTTGTACGGAGAATAGGCGGGCTGTCGGAGTCCTTGCACCGTCCTTTTAGGCGTTTGCGGGTGCTGGCATCTGCAGAAGAATGCCCCACGAAGATATTAACGCTTTTATTCTGTTTTCAGCTGTCTTCCAAGCAGAGCACGAGTCATGGATGGTTCATGACGGTCGCCGCTCTGCGGGCGCTTCCAACCACAATGCTATGTTGTAAACACTGAGAAGCTCTAGGATTTTTTTAAAGACGTACGGGCCAGGTCTGGTGCAGCCTAGGAGGACCTGGGTCCAAACACCCACCTGCTATCCTAAAGTCCACCTGTGAGTATAGCCGAATATAACCTGAATATAAAAGAATATTTCGTATTGCTATACACGTCCGTTATCCTAGCAACATGTTGTTTAAGCAGCCCCTCGCCCCTGCATGGACGAGCGAGCCGAATAAACACAGCCATCCGTACACAGCCAAAATGCGAAGGCCACGGCGGGCTTTACGCGTATGTGTGAAAATTTCACTCTTTCACAAAAACGTGTAAGGCCCGCGCTCCTGGCTTTTGAGGGCCGGCCTTTGCGCGGCCCGCCGTGGCCTTCCCTTTCGCGGCCCGCCGTGGCTGTTTAAGCTCGTCCATGCAGGGCCGAGGGGCTGCTTAAGCAACATGTCGCTAGGATAATGGACGTGTATAGCAATACGAAATATTATTTTTTATTCAGATTATATTCGGCTGTACTCACAGCTGGACTTTAGGATAGCAGGTGGGTGTTTGGACCCAGGTCCTGCTAGGCTGCACCAGACCTGGCCCGTACGTCTTTAAAAAAACTCATGAAAAGACCTTTTATTGAACTATATTTTCGTCCATGAAACTCTTATAGCATATGTCCAGTTTTCTCATGTTCCTCAGCGGTAGGATATTTCTTACTCATCTTGTATACCATATCCTTTAACACCCATTAGTTGTTGCTCCATAGGTAAATGCCATTTTCTGTTACAAATAATGAAAGAGAGAAAAGGACTGAGAGGCCCGAAGAAGACGGGCCTTACGAACGGAGAAAGAGACACCGCAACTGAACTAACGCGAGGCTGCGCCAGAAACGGGCGGGCGGGCGGGCGCGCGCTGAACAACAAAACAAGATAAGCTAACCAGCCTAATGCGCGCAATAAATGACGGCCCTGAGGACACGGGCCGTTGCGAAACAGTTAGACTAACAGTTACGCATTGGGCCTTACGCCCAACTAACCCAGCTTACTTACGCAAGCTCGCATTAGTTGTTGCTCCATAGGTAAATGCCAAAGGAGAAGATACCCCCTCTAGCGGAAATAACAAACAAACTGAGCACCAAAACGGCGCAACGCGACGGGCCGCTAGAGGGACAAAGGACGCGAGAGCTGCCAGACAGGCACACACACCGACACGAAATAAAGCTCCCCAAGCAAAACGCCTCAACGACCTCCAAACGATACTCCAGCAGCAAGGACGGCGAACACGCCATCTCTATACAAAAGAGCGAACAAACAGAACGCTGCCAAAACCACAAGGACGAGGTCAAACCAGCGCTCTCCCACCGCGCACAGACTGACCCACCGGCCACAAACGCGACGGATCCCTCAACAAACGCTGACGGACGCCCACTGAAGGCATGGACGATAGATACGCGAGAATGCCAAACATGTGCCCGCTAAGGGTTGACTAAACGGCCAACTAGGGCTTGAA